CTGCTTTAGAATACGTCCAATTCGGAATACGTCCTGTTTGGACGAAACAAATTTTGCTCGGTATACGACTTTTGTTTGGTATATGACTTAATTCAATTATACACGCCATCAATGAACAAGTAGCACTATCGGTGTACTACACTAGACTAGACGTTCGTGGTGCCACGGTCTATAACTTTGTTAAATTTCTTCTGATTTTAATTCGTAAGTAACATTTTATTAAATGCAGTGTGTAGCGTCTATGTAATCCAAAACGAGTTGGTAGACGAACGGACAGCAATTGGTTAGAAAACGTACGTTTTATTTAAAAAATTCCTAATTCATATGCATTTCGGGTTGGCTTAAATTCCCAATCTCTCTTCAGTGCTGTTAATAAATACAGTGGAACCTCGGTATACGTCTGCTTTAGAATACGTCCAATTCGGAATACGTCCTGTTTGGACGAAACAAATTTTGCTCGGTATACGACTTTTGTTTGGTATACGATTTAATTCAATTATACACTCCATCTATGAGCAAGTAGCACTATTGGTGTATTAGACCAGACTAGACGTTCGCGGTGCCAGTTTATAACTTTGTTAAATTTCTTTTTATTTTAATTTGTAAGTAAAATGTTATTATTTTTTATTAACCATGAATTGCAAAAAGGCAACAGAAAAAAAATGACTAAAATCACAATGGAACTGAAAAAAGAGATTGTTGAGAAATATGAAGGTGGCATGCGTGTTCGAGATTTAACTGTTGCATATCATATTCCGAGAACGACGATACCAACAATCGTGAAAAATAAAGATATTATTAAATATGCTAAAGGGGTTAAATCAATTTCTAAACAGAGATCGAAGACATTAGATAATGTTGAGAAATTGCTTTTGCTTTGGATAACTGAAAAACAATGTGCTGGCGACAGTGTATCAGAAACATTTATTTGCGAGAAAGCTAAAAAGATACATGCTGATCTCATGAAAAATCAAGCAGGAACTAGCCAGGAAAGCAAGGTGTTTCAAGCCAGCCATTTTTTTACATGAAAACGGATTAATCACTTTTACATTACTTTTAATGGGAAAGATTGGTTTGGTATACGTCCTATTCTGTATAAGTCCGAACATCAGGAACGGATTAAGGTCGTATACCGAGGTTCCACTGTAGTAGTTGCTGTTGTTATTCGAATAAAACCGATAGGCCTTTTTTTTTGAGATTTTTAAGTTAACAAAATTTATTATTGGTGTAATCTGTTTCCGGTGTGCTGATGATGATGATGTCCAATGGCAGCATTCTGATATACATCAAAATGAAACCTGACATCATCACACCGGAAATAATCCACCAAATATTAAAAGTAGACCGAATTCAACACTGATATTTTCATAAAATATATATAAGTAAATATATTCTGTAACATATAAGAATAAATATCCAAGAATGATTTTAAAAACTAAATAATATTTTCAGTAATTCCTGCCGGTATTCTTCAAAAGATGATATATGAAGAAGATCGACCTAAGTAAATAATCATCTGAAATATCTATAAAAACGTCATGTTTATTTGAATGTTTGTAAAATAATAATTTTTTTTACAGATATATCAATTTTGCAAAAGTAGGTTTCCTCTATGGACGTGAAGTGGATCGAGGTTTCGGGGATTTGGGTATTTGTTTAGAGTAATTTTATTGTAAATAAATTCCAAATTCCAAAGAAACACTTAATTATTTTCAATCAATAGGCATTTTAAGAGATAAATATGGAAATTTAAAAGACTTATGGACAGAGAAATCGAAAGATGAAGTTAAAAAAAGATCTCAATGTTTTATCGATCAATATAGTTCCTATCATTACTATAAACTGAATATAACTGTAAGTTTTCTACCTAACTTTCTTATTTTCTTCTGTAATTAAATGTATTAAGAATTTCTCTATTATGTATAAGAAATATTTTCCTGTGTTTACTTAATATAATCTTTGTTGGCCATATTGGTTCCACCTTACAAACAGTTTGGTTTTAGACAGGGCGTTATGACAAAAATATAAACTGAAGTATGTAAAGTTTATATGCAATGCTATAATTGTATGACCTGCAAGACTTATTAACTGTCATAGATGAAAATAATCTGCTTAATGACGAGGAACACGAATTACAATGTTCTTCGTTTGGCTTCACTATTAACAATGGCGCATAAATTGACTATTGAAAATAAGTTACTTGTACAATATACTAGCATTGTCTATTGAGTTAATCGTTTAATTACCTATAGGTCTTATTGAGTTCAATTATCTTATACTATATATTAATTAATTTAGCTTGATGGAGAGGAAACTTTATCAGACAACATAGCTGATAATGGTGGAATTCGTCAAGCCTATTTGGTAATTGTATATACTTAAATTAAAAACTAACTTTTTATTAATTATAATTCATAAATTTTTAATTGATTTTTGTTATTCAACTTTTAAACAAGGGTTATCAAAAATGGGTTAAAGATAACGGAAAAGAAAAATCCCTTCCAGGTCTACAAAAATACAGTCACAAACAATTATTCTTTATATCATTTGCTCAGGTAATTTTTCAAATGAATAATTAATTTAAAACTACATTTTTAATATGTATCTTTTTTTTTTAAATGTTTTAGTCGTTGTGTAGCAACGGTCAACATTTATTAGAAAAGATTAAAGCATTTGAAGGCACGAAAAGTACTACATTTCAATCCAGGTGAAATTTCATTAATCGAATTTTTGTTGAGAAATATTAAATTTAAAATCGATAATATAATTCATCTAATTTTAAAATTTAGGGTAATTGGTAGTTTGTCAAACATGAAAGAGTTTTCTGAAGTTTTCAATTGCAAACCAGGATCTGAAATGAATCCCGAAAATAAATGCGTCCTGTGGTAAAAGTATAGCACCAAATCAGAAAAGATTTTAAATATATTATTTTGTACCTTCTTATAAGAAATTGTCATTTAATATATTTTGTATACGAATATCCACCGACGTTTCCTAAGTTGTATTTCCTTTGCCATATTTTTCAGAAAATAATATTTATACAGAAAACGTTGTCGAAAAAATGTAATGTTTTATTTTTACGAACTGTGTTTCAAATGTATGGTAAAGTCACGTATATGTTATATATACAGTCGAAGTAAAACAGTAAATCACTCCAATTTAATTTCTAACAGTTTTCCCATTTCTTCCGATAGCATAAGGCATTTTTAAGTCGTATAAAAATATGACTTAAAAATTTTAGGAGCCATCTCGTCGTACTTTAGCGCAACCATTATTAAAGTTTATCTGTCAATCATGCCTATCAGTGGCCGAACAGTGGTAGTTAGTTCATCGAGGGTTCGCGACTCGCAATGGACTGGTAGAATGAAGTTTTCCGGGTTTTCTTCACGTTAGTAACACATAAGTAGGGACCAATTTCCCATAAAAAGAAGACCTTCCGGCAGATTGGCAATGTGTCGCGTTGCCGTAAACAAATAAACTGTGTGAAACAATATGTATAACGTCGTTTCAAAGGTAAAGCAAGGGGTACCTGTAGAAAGAAGAATGGAAATTGAACGAAGTTAGAAACAATTGGAAGAAGAAGGCTTGGAAAAGATTGGACAAACGCTTAGAAAATTGGGAAGAAAGTTCAATATTTTTCTTGAATATGTTCGCCAGATTCAGAAGGAACGTCTAGTGACTTTCAAGAAACAAACGTCCGCTACAGAATACAAGACTAAGCAATTCGTAAATGAAAAACACCCTTCTGCAAAGCTGAAGTGATGGAGTCTCGAAGGCGTCGAACTATTTTGATATGGTTATGAACGACTCCTATTTCACTTTCGACGGAAGTAAATGCGGAAAATCACTATTTCATCAAAAAATGGCTAAAAGTAAATCCTGAAGTCAAATTCAAACGACACAAAATTTTTGCCGATGCTTCTGGTTTGGCCGGCAGCCAGTCCAAAGAAACGTTTATGGGCCTTCATGCTATCAGTCATCAAAGAAATTTAAGGCAACAAATGCATTCAGAGAAACTTAGTGCCTTTCTTGTCGCATATCCGTTTTATTAATTTGAAAAATATTAGAGGAGAAGATGGTATTATGGAACACTGCGGGTATTATGGAACCACCCCATTTCGAACTGATAATAAAGGCGAACTGTAGCGGAATTTGGCTGAACTGAACTAGGCAGACATCCATAGCAAGGGGAAACCCGTTTTACTTCAGTTAAACAGTTGTCCGCATTTAATCAGCAAATTTGTTTTTTTCAAAATTCGCAAGTTTTGAATGCTAAGTGAATTTAANTTATTTTTACGAACTGTGTTTCAAATGTATAGTAAAGTCATGTATATGGTATATATTAAGTCGAATAGTATAGGGCATTTTTAAGTCGTATGAAAATATGACTTAAAGATAAATTACAGGAGCCATCTCGTCGTGCACAGACTATTTTAGTGCAACCATTATTAAAACAAAGTTGATCGGGCAATCATGCCTACCAGTGGCCGAATGGGTAACACCATAGCACACTGGTAGTTAGTTGGTCGAAGGTTTGCGCCTCTCAATGGGCTTGTACAATGAAGTTTTCATGTGTCGCGTTGCCGTAAACAAATAAACTGAATAACAAAAGTGTATAACGACATTTCAAGGATAGAGCAAGGGGAACCTGTAGAAAGAAGAATGGAAATTGAACGAAGTTAGAAACAATTGGAAGAAGAAGCTTTGGGAAAGATTGGACAAACGCTTAGAAAATTAGGAAGAAAGTCCAATATTTTTCTTGAATATGTTCGCCAGATTCAGAAGGAACGTATAGTGACTTTCAAGAAACAAACGTCTGTTACAGAATACAAAAATAAGCAATTCGTAAATGAAAAACACCCTTCTGCAAAGCTGAAGTGATGGAATCTCGAAGGCGTCGAACAATTTTGATATGGTTATGATCGAGTCCTATTTTACTTTTGACGGAAGTGAATGTGCCAATGAAAATCACTATTTCATCAAAGAATAGCTAAACATGACGCCTGAAGTCAAATTCAAACGACACTCAAAATTTTCGCCGATGCTTCTGGTTTGGCCGGCAGCCAGTCCAAAGAAACGTTTACGAACCTTCATGCTATCAGTCATCGAAGAAATTTATGGCAACAAATGCATTCAGAAGAATCTAGTGCCCTTCTTGTTGCATGCCCAATTAATGAGAAACTTTTATTTTAATTAATAAAAATATTGAGGTTTAATAATAAACTTACATAAAAAATTAAAATTACATTTTAAAGACAGCATTTAAATTACTATAAGTTTTAGTTAATTATTATTCACATTTTCATTGCAAGATGTTGCACTTCTTACTGCGATTCATTTTACTCCCTTTCTTGCATTTAAAAGCTTTAGAGAATTCCTTCATATTAGTTACAGTTCCTAAAATTCTGTAATCATGTTTAGTAAAAATAATATCAATTTAACATGTATTGAATTATATAAATACTATTTATTATTATTTCAAATTATTATTATAGAAATTACCTAAATTTAGACGGTGAATGATCGGACTTATCGTTTTTCCAATAATTCTCAGTCGCCTCTTCAGTTTCACACCAACTCTAAAATACAATAATTTTTCTGTAAATTACTGTAAAAATATTCAATTAAATATGATATAAATGAGTGGCATACTGTTCCAAAGGATATAAAAAACAGTTGATCGGTTGTATAGTCTTCTAAACCTACAAGAAATGGTTCCTGTCCTCGAAGACGTTCTTCTCTTTTAAAAGCCTAGTAGTACAATGTATTTAATTAATTTCACTTCATTTTTAATCGTCTTAGCTTGCATTAATAAAAGTGGAAGTAAATAATAAAACCCACTCTATAACTGATCCTAAGACCTATATGATCAGCAATATTTTGAGAAAGCGTTTTCTTGCCGTCCAACTATACAAGTAAAAATAAATACACACAATATAATAGAGAGATTGCGGCCGAAGATTTCATTTCTCAAACGTGAACGTCGAACGTCGAGCGCCACTTACAAGATAGCGGTGTTAGACGTTCGACGTTCACGTTTAAGAGATGAAAACTTCGGCCGCAACCTCGCTAATAATATGACAATAAATGATTGTTAACATATTCAATAATATAGACTACATGTTACTGTATTATTTTCTAATTCATTACCTGAATTCCAAATTTGTTCAGAGTGTAATTACCGTACTGATCTACGAGACATTGTGATCGTTTCAAATATTTTTTTTTGAAATTGTCGTTAGTCCAGTTTACCAAAACTCCACGTTTATCTCGCTGAATACCTATAAAGAAATTCATTTAGAAATAATAACTTAATTTCTATCAATACTTTTTATGGTACTTTTGTGGTCTTACCGTTTTTGTCGAATCCGTGTCCCATTTCGTGTCCTATTATCATTCCAACAGATCCGTAATTAAGGTAACTGTTAAGATATTTTAAATAACCACTAAATTTTAATTTAATACGTTATAATAAATAAAAAAATTGAAAAGAAATTCTCATAATAAATGAAAAGAGAAAAAAACTCGAAAGAACTTACTTAGGTCTTTGTTGGTTAAAAATCTTAGGATGTTTCAGAACGAATGGTAAAACTAAAAATTATAAAATATAAATTAATGAAATTATATTAAATTTTCTATTTTGCAATTTCTAATTATGTATTTAAAAGACTTACTGACTGTATTAAACCCTTTCAGATAATATGCATTCAATGTCGATGCCGATATTCCTACAAGTAAAGGCCATCTGAAAATGAACCAGAGAATTGTCAAATTTTATACAATAATATATTTCGTAATAATTTTACAAATAAATACTTCAGTCTGTTGTTTTCATTTGTAATAAATAGCAAATTTTCTCTTCGTGCAAATTGGACCAGTAACAAATAATTTTCTAACGGATTACTGGTTACTTCTGGAAACTATAAGGTTGATAAATTATAAAATAATTCAATATTTTATTCAATTCTTTACGTTTTTATTACAATAAAATACGTACACTTTTATAAAACTTCTCGATATTAGTTGGATCATTTATCCACTTCGGATAATCGTATATCACGGCCATTTCTTTTTGCTTTAAAAATTAATATTTTTATGTAGTAATACTTTCATTGTGTAAAGAATAAGCAATCAGAGAATATTCATAACTTACTTTATCTAGAAGGAACTTCTTTGTGTCCTTATCTATCCAATTTTGCTTTTTTAATATTTGTCTCAGAGATATACTTAAGTTTTCAACTATATCATTCAACTAGAATAAAATAATAATTATAAAGTGTTTTTAAATTAAAAATAAACATTATATATCTCTTACTTTTGATTGCCAAGGTTTTTTCCGTGTTATAAACATATGATCGACGGCAAAGTTAAGAGGTAACATGATTGAGTATAGACAAACTATTTTAGATCTTTCTTCGGATGTAAATTCTCTATCAGTATCGGTTTCATTAACATCTATTACACTCCTTTTCATATTGTTCGGTCTAAAATTTTCTATTAGATATTTTGAAGACTTAGGAAAATATTGTATTATTTCAACGAAAGCGTTATAGCTCAGAAAATTGGCAATCGTTCTATCAACCAAAAAAATCAATAAAACCAATGAAGATATTTTATTCAATAAAATACTTTTTGTAAGTGCTTATCTATTTACCTTTTGCTAATTGTTCCATTATTAATCATTTCTATTAAACTTATTATATAATGTGCTGATTTGACAGCAATATCATCATCTTCATTAATTGTTAGCAAATGTCCCGTGGCTCTTCTAAGAAAATCAATGAGGTCGATCTAGAACCAATTACAATCATAATAAAATTAAGCTTTTCTATAAGTTTAACTATAGCCTATATTAGGATACTTACTGAAGGTATTAACTTCTGAAAATCTCTTATTTTCGTTATCGATTCTAATTTTTCAGTGTCATCAAAATCTTCTACGTATTTCGAAATCTAAAATAAAAAATATATATCCATAGCTGAAATTTCATTTTTGTATTAATTATATACTTTAATACACTCACAGAATTTAATTTGTTTTGTAAAATGGTCAAATTTAATATATCATTATAAGCAGTTCCTCCTCTTTCAGTTGAAATCTGTCGTCCTCTGGCTTTTGCAAAATAAAATGGATATAATAATACTTTTCTTATATTCACAGCTTCTCCTCTTGAGGGTTGACTTATCTGTTTCAATAATTTACATATTTATTCTTATTAAGTTATGTTAAATTTTTAATTTATCTTTATTCAATTAAGTTACTCATAATATAATACCATTATAATATTTCTTGAAGGATTTCTGTGGTCGGTTGGCGATTGTACCTGTATCAGTGGTTCTGAATTTACTATAAGAGAAAGTTGAGAGAGTGCTTCTATCCAATCGTAATCGTCTTCGTTCCATTCGGGATTTAACATAGGAAAGCCTCCAATTTTCTCGAACAGATCCTCAAACCATTTTATCGTATCATTGTCAAAAGTCTCTAACAAAATAAATCGAAGTATAAATTCAATTACGAAAATTCCATTTTAAAAAAATGACGGATTTCAAGACACAATAAACTATTTAAAAATTTTAATGCTTAAAATGTGAGTAAGATACATTATTTAAATAAAAAAAAAACTAAGTGACTTACCGTAAGCTTTGCATGTATCATATATCTTAATAATTTTACGTTCTATTTTTGTTAGAGATTTTTCTGGAGCTTCTTCTAATATCTCTAAATAGAAAAATTATAAGTTTGCAAACATCTTTACTTAAAGTAAACGAACTTTTTCATAAATAATAACAATATTTTAGAAATAACGAAATTTGTAAATATTGTACACCACCAATTTTCCGTATCTTCGGTTCACAAGCTTTGCCTGATCAACTATATTAATAACTCAACAGTACATCTTTCACCACTTACGTTTTGCTTCATTGTTTCTTTATATCATAAACAATGTACAAACAAATTGCTTACGACATAAACAATATTAAATGTCACACAGAGCGAAATCACACTGTTCAATTGTTCTACATTAAGCTTTTCCAGTATTGACTGATGTTTACGCTTTATACAACTGCAGTGAGTGAACGAGCATTAAATGTTACCTCATCTACTGCCATTGAATTAACTACTCTTGTTATCTGACAGTAGCGGAAAATATAATTATTCTTTCATAATTCTGTCCAAACTAAAAGAAAATCGATGGTGTAACGGTACAGAAAATTAAAAAGTAATAAAATTCTTATGTTATTTAATGCAATAATTACTTATTATATCCAGCATAATTTCCATGCGGTTTGATTTAATTACATTGTCATCTAAATGCTTCCTTTTCATCCAACCATCGCATGAAAAAGAATAAAAATCTTCACAAGGATCAACTGATTTATTCATAGAATTCAAAATAACAGCAGCTGTTTGATTAAAACCATAAAATAATATCAAATATGAAGATATAATTAATACAAATTCAATGAAAACATTATAAAAATTACCGACCAGAGAGTTTGCAAGCTTCCGTTTCGCATATTTTCTTCTTAGAAGTATTGTTTTCATCTTTCGCTATAATAATTTCATTTAATTACATATCAATCACCCTTTTAAAATATACTTTTAAATTCTCTTACCTTGATTTGCTTCACGTAATAAAACTATTAACAGTAACCACATAAAACAATTCATATTTCTGAAATATTAAGTAAAATCTATTTATATATTTATTTTAATGTAATATTAAAAAATTAATAATTAATATAATTTAAATTGCAATATTTATACAATAAAATAATGCTTCTCAAATACAAAACCTGTAGTAATACTTTCATTGTGTAAAGAATAAGCAATCAGAGAATATTCATAACTTACTTTATCTAGAAGGAACTTCTTTGTGTCCTTATCTATCCAATTTTGCTTTTTTAATATTTGTCTCAGAGATATACTTAAGTTTTCAACTATATCATTCAACTAGAATAAAATAATAATTATAAAGTGTTTTTAAATTAAAAATAAACATTATACATCTCTTACTTTTGATTGCCAAGGTTTTTTTCCGTGTTATAAACATATGATCAACGGCAAAGTTAAGATGTAACATGATTGAGTATAGACAAACTATTTTAGATCTTTCTTCGGATGTAAATTCTCTATCAGTATCGGTTTCATTAACATCTATTATACTCCTTTTCATATTGTTCGGTCTAAAATTTTCTATCAGANAGTAAACGTTTCGTGTGTAATATAGATAAAATTATATCTTCATCAGAGGAAATCCTCAATTCTGAAAAAGGTTCATCTAATTTTATTCTTTGAATTTTTTCGTAAATTTATTAATAATAAATAAAGTTAAAGTACTATTTTATATTAATTTAAATACGAAAATAAGTAATTCATTTAGCATTGTTTTATGTGTTGTATTAATAATGTTGACGATTAATTAATTTAATATTAATAAATTCTTATAATGAAATCTAAATATACTTCAGAATTATGTTAAAAGTATTCAATATATCGTGTTTATTTATAATTACATAATATATATTGCATACTTTGATATGATTCAAATAGTATATAGTATTATATGCATACATACTTGCATACATATTTAATTACTTTTATGTACTGTTTAACATAAAAATAATTTTAAAAATTCCATTTTTTTTTGTGTATGAAATTCAAATGCTTTATCAAGATTTATAATCGTATATTTTTTTAGAAAAAAGAAGAATTTCCTGTATAAAAAAAGGATATCCTTTGACAAAATTAAGGCATTTTTTTCTTACATAACATCCTCTTTGGCATATTGTTCTATAATTGATCTTTTAAAATTTTTCATATAAATTATTCTTATATTTATTATATAATTTTTCCCAATCTTCAGGCTCTTCAAGCTTATTTACATTTACCTTGTAATCCACGCTGATAGCCATTTCCTTCTTATTTGCACGTATTCAACAAAATACAACTTCAGAGGCGATTTTAATTATATATTTATTGTTCATTACAAAAATCTATTATTAAATACATAAATTTAAAATTTCAATTAACAATTGTTATTACTTTTATACAAATTTTAAATTTTACAATGGAAAGTATTCAAAAATTCTTTCATTATATTCACATCTCGATGATTAAACCTTAAAAAAATAAGCAAGTACAAACATAAAAATCGTGTATAATTTAACATATTTTTCTTTAAAAACTGTTTAAATTTACCTTGAATATTGTTCTGAACTGCACCACATCTAAATATATTTAAAATTTTCTATTATTATTTTCATTGTGATGATTAAAATAAATACAGTAGACCACCCTATAAAACGGGTTCATATAGTTCAGATTCCTATATCACGGCGGAAAAATTGCGACCGTATTCGTACAAACACGCTAAAAAAAACTCGTATAATTTGGTAAAACGTCATCGCCGACTCGTGTCGCGACAGGATTGATCGAATGACCTAATCAATAGCGGATAATGTACAAACCATTGAGTTTAAAAGAGCAGTGAACCTACTAAAAACAATTTATTATTTAACGTCCATAAAAATTATATTTATATTAATGATGTCTCCAAAGTTCAGCGAATTTTTCGCAAAAAAAATAATTTATCAGGAAGCACGCGAGCGCCATTCGATGACAAGCTCCACGACGAATACAAGCTTAAGCAATAGTCGAACGGTGCACGCTCGGTAAGTAATCCTACAATTTTTTGTTTATAGCATAGTTTATATGGCTTATTCCCAAAAAATTATACGTATTTTGGAAATGTTGAATCGAATTAGTCTAGAATCGATTAATTTTATGGAAGAAAACCTTTCAAACAGCCGTAGTCCGTAAACTATGATTCCTACAAAATTGATTCATAAAGAACGGAACGTATC